CACACAGAAAAGGTTCGAGGATGCTTATAAAAAGGGCCCCTAATTTATACAAAATCCTCAGGAATGATAAAGATGATATAAGGTCAGAAGAGAAAGCAGGGGTTTATAAAATTCCGTATGAGAACATGCAATTGGGCGTTAAAAAAGACTACATTGGAGTAACCACTAGAAGTTTAGGGCTTAGAATCAAGGAGCATAGTTATAATATCAGAAAGGGGTCTAATGCAACAATTTTATCCCAAATGGCGCAAGCAACAGGATCAGTAGTCAAATGGAATGAGGCAGCCATCATAAAACCTTTATCTTCTCCATCTTTGGCGTTGACAGCGGAAAAGTTGCAGATTTATAGGAGTAAAATAAAAGAAGACTGTTTAAATGCAAGAGATGCAGAAAGTCTTCCCTCTGCATGGAAGTTTATAGTTAAGAAGTTTAATAAGAGCTCTAACCAGTCATAATAGTAGTTTTATTGGATGTGTTAGTAATTGCATTTATTAATACTTCTATGTACATTTTTTACATTTTTATATTTTTTGTTTTAATGTTACTCTGTTGGTTATTTAATATTTTAATTTTATTTTTATTTTATTCCGTTGCTTATTTAATTTTTTAATTTTGAATTTTGTATTCCATTGATGGAATCCTTTAATTCAAATTTGTTCTAAACCTGAGGATGGCCTGTGAATCAGGCTGAAAACGTTTGTGTTTAAAATATATAATTCTCAGCAAAATTAAGGTGTTCTAATATATACAGGCTGAAAACGTTTGTTTCGAATAAATTATATTTCTCTCAGCAAGAATAAGGTGTTAGTTATATGTATAGTGATTTGCTGAGTACTTTATGATATCATCTAAAAATGATAAAAATTCTAAAGATTTTGTTTGAAAATCTGTCGATATAAATAAAATTAAAAGAAAATTATAATTAAATACAGCTTTGTAAAGAAACGTACATAGAAATAACAAAATATTCTTTACTTTTTAAATCTTAAAACAATCCGGCCCACCAGTGGCCACGCGGTTCCGTTCCCTAACCACTGGGAGTTGGATGGACGGACTGGCCTGGACTGGACTGGACTGGACGGACCTGGCCAGGACGGACTGGCCACGTGGAGTTCTCCAAGATTTCAACACGCCTGTAACGTCCAAATAGACCTCCCGGAAGGCATCCTCCTAGGCAGGTAGCCTAAGTGTTACGTTGCCTCAACTTAAATAAAACAAACTTAAAGCGACGCACTTAGTCAAATACCCTACGAGTAGCTAATGGATAGAATCATTAAAAGCGTTGTGATGTGTAGCATCCACCGGCTAAACCTCCAGAGGTTGGTGCTCTGTAAAGGGCACGCGCGAATGCCTGTAATCTGTCTGCTTCGCACCGTTCAAATACAGTATTTTGACCGCGGAAGCCGTCCCGTATTCGACAATACGGCGCTTCCGTTGGGAATATGCACGTACGAATTTATATTCCAACTAGCTGCAAGGACCCGCTTCGCTGGGTTTTTATTTGTGGGCAAAAAGTAACGATAGTGAAGATTAAAATAATTACATTATAGCCAATCTTACCCGTTTTCACAGAATGCAAGAATTAAGTCCCCCGTTTCCAGAGTAGTTAGAGACCTGGTCACGATTTTATTTCTGAACGTCTCCTGTTCACGTCCAGTCAAACGAACTATTTTCAACGTTTACAATCGTTCTATAATCGAACCAATATTGTTCGAATTAAATTCGAACAAAACATTCGAAATAGAAAGCCACTTTCAGCCTCATGTCTCCCGCACCCTTATAGCTATCGAGACGTAACCCCCCTGGTGCACGAATGGAGACTTGGGGCTACTACCACATACAAACACCATTCACGTGCGATGTGTAGTTTTGGCGGAAAAGTAAAATATAGGGACATACACGTCCATTTTTATATATAGACTAGCAGACCCCGCCACGCCTTGTTGTGGCTCAAAATGTATCTATTATAAATGTATAACACTTCCCCCGTGGGGGAAAATTTTTCGAAAAATCCCTTCTTTATGTACATTCTGTTGACGTACTCTATTAAAATGCAATCAAAAATGCAAAAAACCGCATTTAAAATAGTATAAATAGAAGCAGAGTTCTTTACGGCAAGCCTTCTCCGTAAGGCTCACCGTAAAGAACTGTCCATCCCCCATGTTTAACGGAATAATATACAGCCTATGTCCATCCTGAAGTTCCATTCTAAATATTGGTAAAAAAAATTTTTGAAATCGGATGAGTAGTTTTGGAGATTACCTGCTGCATCCAAACTTACATACATACATACATACATACATACATACATTACCTCTTTATTATATTAGTATAGATATAGATATAGATATATAGATATAGATATACAATAGCAATGTTATCGTCGTTTTCACGTGTAGTAGAGAAATTTGTAATAAGATACGTAATGCGGTTATAATAAAATATTAATTTTAAGTGGTTCAAAGTAGGTTAAAATATGAAAATAATGGCGCAATATTTTAGAAAAGCGGCGCTTCCACAGTTTCCGTGGATGGTACTGTACAGTACATCACATAACTATTACAGACAGCAAATAAAAAATATACTTACTCTAATGTAAGGTGCACTTTTTCAGGTTTTAATGCGGCATAATTAAACTTCTCTAATGCCACGGAGTTTTATTGTCTGTCACTAACACGATTGCATTATTTTAATCATTTTATTAAACCAACTTTCGTAACATCAAATATTTAAGAGATGAAAAATGAAGCCAAAATGGTTAAAAAACGACAAAGTACTTAATTATGAGAACAGAGATGTAGAGACGAGTTTTATTTTTAAAAAAAATAGAAAATGTTAATGAAGATTTTACTGGTTAAGTCCGATCCCTCTTGAGATATGATACGTAACAGTTAATAGATTAAAAGTAAGCGCCGAATTTATTCGGGTGATAGTCTGTATTAGGTCGTGTCACGTCATACCCGATTGACCAATAATATGTTAAAATTTTAAAAATGGGCTATTATTTAATAATTACTGGACATTTTTAAACAAAACTACTAAAAGGGCCATTAGCGGGAGATCGGCTCTAAAAAAAAGCTATTAAACGTACGCAGACTCCTTCATTGCTCGGTGTGGCTGTTATCTCTGTAAATCTAGGCGACAAAATGCCGATCGCGTAAGTCCAAAACTATCCGACGAATTTATTCAAAATTGAAGGGATCCGTAATACTCTCCACGGACACTAAATATTTATCGCTCTTTGAGATATTAAGGGTCAGAACTCGCACACGAATAACATTACGCGTATGGCTTAGGTCTATGACAATTCACAGAAATTAATAATTCTTAACGAAGTAAAGTTTTTTGAAAATCAAAATGCCTCCTATTAGTTTCGAAAACTGCACGCCCTGTTAAAGGTACATAATGAAATTCTATACATTCGTTATCAGTACTGTCTTAACGCACGGGCACGCTGGGCAGTTTTCCGGAGGCCCACGGCTAATTTATGCGTGGACCAGAATTTAACACTAATTTTCCGATCACACTCTGGTTCTGTAGGCAGGGTCCAGTTTACTGCTTCGCCCCGGGACCTATAATGCTGTTAAGACGATTCCAGCCTTGCCCACAGACTATAAAAATGGCGCGTAAGCTCTAAAAAAAGAACTTCGTACATTAAGCAAGAGTTTCAAACTATGACTCGACGTCGGATCAGCGTTCCGACAAGGTGACACTGGTTACACTCGGGGCTAACGTAGCACCGAAAACAAGAAATATGGTTTTAGTCAACACGCCACAAAATTGCGTGAGACAATAGACAAACATCGTTTAATAGTTTCTTTTATATTTGCAGAATAGGCTAGCTAGAAGTCGTGAATTTTCTGTTGTTTCTTGATAATGAAATTCGGAGTTCCTTGGGAACTAGAACAGAGGCAGCAAACCAGACGAAAAAGGATGCGCGTGCCCCAAGTGCCCAATGTACGGGCATCCTTAGATTTCCCTGTTCCTCGTGGTACGCGAGGCATTACAAATTCTATCAAATACCCAGATTACTCAAGAGGATAAAATAAAAGAAAAAATAATGAAGTAAAAATTTCAGTTCTATTATTTCATAAAATGTTTAGTAAAGGATAAATATGATGCCCAAAAATATCGGTAAACCAAATTCGAATTACTAAATAAATAAACGTTTGAAACGATAAATATATATTAAAATAGAACCAAAAAATGCCAACGTGTTAATTCGAAAATTTGAAAAATTAAAAATCAAGAACAACTTTGCATCATACCATAAACAACGTAACTCTGAATATAAGCAGTCTTCCCCAGCGCTATGCAGAATCGACATACAGTGAACATCCAGTAGAATGGAGAGAACGTGCACAGCAATCCAAATATCATATGAATGATAATGCCAATGATGATTACTGGTCTTCTTCCGTGTCTGCAATGCTCGTCATATATAATTCTCATTTATGAATGAAATAAAGCCAAGATTGCCAAGTATGGCCATTACCTGTCAGAAAGCTGACCAAAGATAAGAGCGGCTACAAATATCCCCATGAAGTAAGAAGATCCAGCAAAGGAAGTCATCCAGTAATTGTCGCAAACTAAATTCCACTTTAAAGTAACAATAAACCAATCAAATTTTATCAGGCAAATTCTTTAAAACCATGTTTACCTTTTCGACGATGCTTGATTTAAACACCGAATGATCGTATTCCCACGAAGTACACGAATTCGTAGACAAATTCCCATTTTCCGCGTCAAGATCATAAATTTGACATTGACTATGCACGGCTCTACTTTTTCTTATTTCTATGGGAGCGCTGATATTCTTCCATTCGTCCACCGACAAGTTGAGGTATTTAGAAGGTCTCGCGCACCAATAATCGATCCTAGGGGCCAAGAAAGGCCAATTCATGTTGTTCATTGCTGATGTAAAAGAGAAAGTGGCCAAAATTGAAACTAGTATTTTCTGCCATTTTTCAAATCCCCCGATAAGATCAGTAAAATCTTCGTATTCCTTCTTCGTCTCCTAAAAAATAACCATTTAAAGTATTTAAAAAATATAAAATGAAATATAAAATACTTAAAATTATAATCTTATAACAATCAATGTAATTCCAAAATAAGCGTTCTTTCTATTTCCGGCTCTATTGTATATAACGAATGGCAGAAAGTAATGGCGATCGGTCAAAAATGAGCCACAACCATTTTATATTTTTGGTCTGAGACCTTGAAACTTCGAGAAATGCAAAAAAATTCGAGTTTTTTCCCCTGTATATCTGGATGTTAGTGTATGTGCAGCGCATCACGTTGTTTACGCTCTTCGAAGCTTAATATCGAGGTTGAGGCTGAAGTTTTCATCTGTAAAACGTCAACTTCAACGTCGAACGTCGAGCGCCACTATCTTGTAAGCGGCGCTTGACGTTCGACGTCGACGTTCCGCGGATGCCGCAACCTCGCTAATAACTCCTGCGCTTTTTTTGGAAAATTTCTGAAATTTTGCAGAGAGGTTTGTATATTAGGGGGATCGATACTATTAAATTTTGGTGGTTAAAGGTAGAGGCGTGGGGAAATATAGAGGGGTAGTGTGTCGTATCTAGAATGGGTTCGGACTTAATGAAGACTTAGCATTTATAATTTTTTTTTATTTTACAAAACTCATTCTTACTCCCGAAAATTATGTTTTGCCATTTTACAATAATTAATTATATAAAATTACATTTCCCACCCTCGTTTTGTGTAAAATTTTGTCGCGACCCCCGGATAGATCGTAGACTTTTTTAATCCTGAACGTAGTTAAAGTGAAATTCTTTCTGGGATTTCTGCTTATGTTTCTGGCTTATCACAGGTCTGAATAAAGCATAATTTTATGGAACAATGGTTTTCTTTATGCATAAGAGTATAAATATTTATTTAATGAAGAATAGTTTTAGAAACTTTACATCATAAGAATTCAACGTGAGGTATGCTCTTGCAAAGAGCTGACGATTGCTTCTATGTTCGGATCTGTATTGGAAATATTTCTCTGGATCCAATCGAGGTCGATATTTTCTTTTAATGACAACTAGTTTTGAAAAGCCAGTTTCACATAAGTAGGTCGATACAAATTAAATCAAAATATCGATTGTCTTTTTCTTCAAATCGCCATTATCGTTTCCAATCGATAACCAAAATTTTTGGCAAGTCAGACACTTAAATTGAATGCTGGTCTGATATAGCTTTTTTACTGCGCTGCGACTATACTCTTGCACTGCAAGCTAACATGTTGCACTGCATGTTGATGCACGCATAAATATGCGTACAACATGCAGTGCAACATGTTGACGCACGCATAAATATGGGTGCGTCAACATGTGTTTCTGTTGCCGCGCGTTATCAGTGTGAACCGCCGGGGAGGTCGGGAACCGTCGACTCTCCCTTTTCGGCTACAGGTCGTTAAACCCGCTCACTTGTCGAGATGGCTAAATTTCGAATACGGTCCCGAAGGTCGGGATTCTTTTTGTCGGGTCGAGTGGAGGAGGTGAGAGGGGTCGTCGACGAGGCGTAGGCGATATGCGAGTAAAAGGACACCATTTAACAATGAAACAACGATTTATTAGATTAACGAAAAGAAAAAATTTAAAGAATATAAAATCTAACATGGGGGAAATGAATTTAGTTCACTAGCTTCTAACTCGCGGAGAGTTTACAATTAATTGTTCCATACCTCTAGTTTACTTCCACGTAGGTGGGAAAAATTTAGTCCTTTCCGCCGGTGATAGACGCACACAAGTTAAAATTTTCCGCGACTTAACCCTTTCCGACGACCGTAGATGTGAGACTCCCCGGAGGAGGGGGAAATAAGTCGCTTTTATAGCTTCGGGTAGGGGAAATTAGTCGGGTGATCTCTTATTGTGTGAGGTAGAGTTGGTCCTGCAGGTGTGGAGGTTAAAGTTGTTCCCGGCACCAAAACAAAATGACGAATTCGGACTTTAACTATAAACTTTTTGTCTTGCGGCAGAGGAATGTCATTGTTCGAGGGTTGAATGTTTATATTAACGATGAAAGTTATAAGTTACGATCGATATTTGATTCTTTTTCTGACAATGTTATTTTAACGAGGAGGCGACAAATTTATTTCAAATACGTCGAAAATTTAGGAGGGAAAATGAATAATTTTGGGCTTATTCTAATGTCAGATCTCACATCAGTGTCACTATGTCTGATCGCCTGCCGTTTGCCGAAGTATAGGTATTAGACATTTGTCTTCGTAAAAAAATATACAGTAGAGCATCGATTATCCGACCCCGATTAACCGTCACATCGGTTAACCGACCGTTCTAGTCGGCAAATTTCAAATGTCCGCTAGTGATGTGGCGCTACAATACTTGACTATGTCTCGGCTACTTTAATATTATTTTTACGTGTTTTAGCTGGCAACACGGCTCGACCATTAAAGGGTGGCCAGTACTTAAACGGGACTTAATTTTCTATTTACAAGTGGTAGTTTGTTTCGTGAGCAATAAAATAATTTAAAAATAATTTTTAACGATACAATAGCGACGATTACTATTTTAAAAAAAATTGTTAGGCTAAACATCGATGAAAATTCAACGCGAAGTTGGTTAATAGCGATATACTAATAAACTAATTACGTGGGATATACTAATATCCTAATATACTATACTAATAGTGTATTTTTTTCCTTCTTTTCGGTTATCCGACCAACACGAGTCCCCAATTGAGTCGGATAATCGATGCTCTACTGTATATATATTTTTATAAATAATATACTGTAATTTTATTTCACTCTTTCACTGGTACATGATACTTTAAAGAAAAGACTTATGTTTTATTGCTAAATAAATTTCTTTGAATTTGGCGACCACTCTGAGGATCGCGACCCACGGTTTGCGCATCACTACTCTAGACACCAATACAGTATTTTATTTCAGTCCCATAATGGGAACGGCTGGGTAATGAGACTCAATATGTTCGGGTTAAACTTTTAATTTAATTTAAAAATTAATTTGTGGTAAATAATTTTGGAATCGGCTCTTTAAACGCGGTGGTGCGGGACATATAGTGTATTTTGGCTTCGTCTTTGGTCCGTTGACAGATCAGTTTGCCAACTTTTTTAAAGAATGCTCTAAGACAGCGCTGTCCAACTTATCATAGCCCGCGGGCCATATTTTCTTCACCAAACATTTCTGGGGCCAAGAAGGTTGCTGCTGTATTCAGCCAGGTTAAGTGAAGTTACGCAAACTAAATAGTACCTACTTTAAATTCAAATTAGATTTAAATTTTCACATAGTAAAATAATTTTAATATTAATAATAATAATTTAGTAACATAAATTTATTCATAGTAAAATGTACTCGGGGGCCGTAAAAATTATTTGGCGGGCCGTATACGGCCCGCGGGCCGCCAGTTGGACAGCCCTGCTCTAAGATCCCGTCAGCCTTAATTCCAATTGTAAATTTAATTTTCGTTCTTATGGTTTCTAGAAACTGAGTTAATGCGACCACGACGACGAAACTTTATATAAATTTAATATTACGGTATAAATCAAACTTATCGGACTTACTTCCGGTTCCGATTACCAGTCAGAATCTTTCAAGAGTCATTGCCACGTTTTAAAATACAGTACATATATACCAAGTAAGAAATAAATAAATTTACAATGTTTATTTGGAAATAAAATCCGATAAACTGTGTATATTAATTACGGGTACACGCTTTCTCGCCTCTTTGCGCATTCTAAATGAATAAGTTTAATGTTATAAAACAGGGTTGGCCAACTTTTGTGTACATAAGATCTACTTTTTATCTTAAAAATGTGTCGCGATCGACTTGTCCTAGATATAGACTTGTCCTAGATCAGGGGTGTCCAACCCGCGGCCCGCGGGCCGCATGTGGCCCAAGGCAAGTTCCAATGCGGCCCAATAAACGTGTAAACAAAACCGACAAATGTTTTAATTTTTTTATTATTTATTTATTTCAACGGCATAAACTCAAAAAAGTTTCACAAAGCCGTAAACCTTTATTCATACTTTATTTTTGAGTGGAAAGAAAATATTTTCAAATACTTGGAGATGTGTGAATGCGGAAGGATTACTAAATAAAGCTGGAGTTGTGACTCAAAGGATTAAAGACCCAAATTTGGGGAAAGGAAGGAAAAATGAGAAAGGACAAAAGATGTAGTAATGAGAAACGTTAAATAGATCTTCTGTTAAGCAAATATGGAGCCGTAATTTTTTAACCTTTTTCACTTCTTTATCTTTTGCCCTTTGTCCTTTGCCTCTTTTCCCCCGCACTTGGGTCTATAATCCTTTGATTCATAACTCCAGCTTTATTTAGTATTCCTTCCAACTTTGCAAGATTTGGCTACATTGGGCCAAATGTGGCTACATTTTTTTGCTTGACGTAAAAAATATCATTTGGCGCTTTGGCTACTTTTTTCGGCTACATATTATTTATAATTATATTAATGGAATAAAAATGCACTTCAAAATGGTGTTTCACCGCTTTTTATTAATTAGAGACCCAAATAAAACAAATATTTGTGTTTTTCAAATAAATTTTCTTTAGTCTCTTTTATAATAAATGAATTTATCTATTTCTAAGTAAAAATTGACATTATTCACTATGCAGTGTGTAGCGTCTGTGTAATCCAAAACGAGTTGGTAGACGAACGGACAGCAATTGGTTAGAAAACGTACTTTTTATTCATCTATGCATCTATGCATCTATGCATCTATACATCTATGCTGTACCATTATATGTCAAGTAAGCAATTTTATGTTATTTTTGTAAAAATTTAAAAAAATTTTTGTAAAATACATCTATGCTGTACCATTATATGTCAAGTAAGCAATTTTATGTTATCATCACCTCGCGTTTTTAGTTATGTTCCTACTAACCAATACCGTAAAACTAACCTTAAATTAAATTTTTTTGTGTAACCTTAACAGCACTGAAGAGGGGTTGGGCATTTAAGCCAACCCGAAATGCATATGAATAAGGAATTTTTTAAATAAAAAGTACGTTTTCTAACCAATTGCTGTCCGTTCGTCTACCAACTCGTTTTGGATTACACAGACGCTACACACTGCATTCAAGATACAGCAACCACGTCCTCTACATTATTCACTATGTTTTATTGTACCAAAAATAAGTACAAGACCAGGCCCCGCGTTTGGCATTACCTGATGACACAGTTAATGGGATACAAGAGAAAATTACAGTATTTCCCGAAACACAATGAAATCAAATACATAATATAATCTAGACATGTTAATTTTTAAATATACTTGTATATTGGGCCACAAGTATATATAATATATACTTGTGGCCCAAAACTCCTTGACTTCTTCCAATGCGGCCCAGAAAAACAAAAGGGTTGGACACCCCTGTCCTAGATATAGACTAAGTGGCGAGAGTGGTGTGAAATACATACTATGTTTAAATAGGTAAGAAAAGCCACAATTTAATTTAAAACACGAATAAAAGGTACTTACATTTTAAACAGAAAATAAATTGAAACTTAACGTTGTCACTTTCGGGGACCACCACTTCACCCTTCCTCTCTCTACCATGTCCCGACCTACTCTCTTTGTCCCTCTTCTCGCCTCTCTTTTTTCGATTTTACGGCCCTTTGTGTACATTTCTTATTCCTCTTTTTACAACTGTACGCAAATGGATGGCGCGTGAATAAGGGTTTCTTATTTCCCGGTGTTTTGCTTGTCCCGGAATTCCAGGACAAAAGCGAACTGTTTCCCGGAATCCCGGGATAGAATTAATGTTTGCGGTTGCTGCAGAACCATGATTGTACCAGGCGTGCTCCTTTTCGTCCGAAGCAAATTGACGGCCACGAATGTCTTTCTTCGGGGCTCCAAAAATATGGAAATCGCGTGGGGAGAAATCGGGACTGTATGGAGGATGCGTATGGACTACGCTGCAGAAGTTCCCAGCGAAACTTCTGTAGCGTAGTCAAAACAACCTTGGTAACGTGGGTGGGCATTATCCTGCAACTGAATGATGCTGTTTGTCAACATTCCTGGGTGTTTGGATTTGATGGCACGCTTCAATTTTTGCCAAGTTTCTATGTACCGCTGCGCGTTAATTGTGGCGCCGTGTTCCAGAAAGTCAACGAGCGGCGGACCTCCGTAGTGATGTTGGACGCACACACGACCCGCCGACCTCACTTCGAGCACTCTAACAGACAAATGGCACAGCGGTGAACGTTCACGCCGTTCCTTCCTGATTCCCAATAGAGGGCACTTCTATATACACACCTACCTGCATTACCAACTTCCGTGCCACACTCGCTATATAGTCTGTCTCGTTTTCGTTTGACTGCCCCTAATAGATCAAACTTCTAACTTACAAGGTAATTTCGTTTTTTAAATAAAACGGAATACCTTTTATTTGTAAATTGTAAATTTTTATAAGATTTTAAAAAGCAAAGATGTCAATACTCCGATCACTCAATCTAGTTCTTATTTTAGTAGAGGAAAAGGTGGTATTATGGAACCCCTCCATTTCAAACTGATGATAAAGGCGAACTGTAGCGGAATGTGGCCGAACCGCACTAGGCAGACATCCCTAGCGAGGTAAAAACCCGTTTCGCTTCAGTTAAACTGTTGCCCGTAGTGAATAAGCATATTGTATTTGTGTTTTTCGAAATTCGAAAGTTTTGAATGCTAAGTGAATTTAATTATTTCTAAAATATAAATCGTGTAGTTGTAGGTTCACGGATGCACATATTCCGTTCGAGAGACAGGGGTACGTGTTAATCTGTCTGATGTTTATATTTTTAAAGTTTGGTGTCGACAGAAATTAAGTTAACCCAAGATGGAGATGCGTGAAATACGGACCCCATTGGTACTTTTAATAGGGATGCGAACTCTCTCTTTGCGATCAGACATTCGTCCGGAGCAATTTGTGATAAAGACACTAGGTAGAAAGCCAATTCTTCCCGAGAATATCGAAAGAGAGCTGCCGGAATATATATTGTCGACGGGGGTCATATTTTTCTATTATAAAAGCATTTTTTCGATAAAATACATTGGAATAAATGATTCTGTAATTATTTAACTCTCTTTTACTTTCCTATTTGTTTTTAGAAACGTTAAAGCATTTTTTGAAAAGATACGGTAAGGTTTCATATTACCACCCGGTTTTCCCTAAGCTACTTTCTGACTTTTTGTACAGAACCCTTCAAAAACCATACTTATAGTTACACTAGCGAAAAATGCAATTAGGAACATTTAGTTTAATAGTTACCGGTACTTTTCGCACAAAAAATGTGGGTGTAGTTACGATACCTTGTTTACAATTCACTTTAATGAAAATGGGGTTCCATAATACCACCTTGTCCTCTAATGAAAAGTCTCGCTACCGAGAATGCCCTTTCCGATTCGTTTGATATGATTGGAATAGTGTTTAATGCATTTAAGAGTAGATATGTTTTTTTTCACCCGTAGCCTGGAAGATTTCTGGTTCGTTTTCGAGTTTGTAGTACTTCTTTCGCTCTTTAGTATTCTTGATTTGTCTACCTCGACTGCTTTAATAGAAACATCAAGCTTATAGATTAAGTAGGTTTAACATTGATAAATGTAATGTGTATTGTATTGTAGATGTTAAAATGTAAAATATTAGTGAGTCCGCCAGGTGACGATTGTTGCTGATGCATCACGGGAACGGTACCTGAGCGCTCACTTTGGTTGTAACTTGGAGACAATAAACATAACAATAAATACAAATGTATTCTGACAGTTTATGAGTTAATTATGCTTTTTATTTGCAAAATTTCTTCGGCCTTAACACAAAATAAGAAAAAAGTGAATTTTTAAGAAATTTGCGCGATTTCCAGGGATAAGAAAAATTTCCCGGGTTAAAAAAATAACCGGAATCCCATTTGAGAAAGCCTAGCATGGACCGAAAAACCGCGTCAGAGGGAGGACGCGGAGATCCGATATCCCTACAGTTGCGTTCGATTACGAGTGTAACACATTAAGTCAAGACAGCGCGAGCGATCGACCGAAATTGGCTTTGCGATCGACTCGTTGGCCGCCCCTGTTATAAAACTCTGTTGACTGTATTGTAGATAATGATAAATGATCTATAATACAGTCAACGAGGCCATCTGCCGGGAGAATGCCTCTCGGGAGGTCCTTTATGAGGAACGGGACTCTACTTAAGCGTTACTAACGCGAAGAAAATCCGAAAAACTCCGCGTGGCCGATCCGCTGGCGAACCCATTACCAACTAACAGCGTTCGCTGCGGTACCTGGACTTGTCGGACTGGAAAGTGATAAGCTGTAGAGAATTTACTCTAATAAATTTCTTACGATCTACATCCTTTTTTAGTCTCGTGTTTAAATAAAGTTTAATGAAACTTTTAAGATTTGGTTACGGGAATTGTGTTGTAGACAGTTGACAGACGTCTTTGTGTTTGTCGCTCGAAACCGTTGATTTATTTCTCTTTGCGAATTAACTGCTTAATCTCAAAAACAAAAATACGGTACACTGTCGTTAATATAATTTTAAGAGATTTAATGCATTCGGTGGCCGAATGCATTAAATCACTGTACTCCGGTAGTTCGTCGCCGGTTCTCACGTCGCCATCGGGCTAGCCAAGAAATGTTTCGGGTTTTCTTCGCGTTTATAACGCCGAAATAAGAGCCAGTTTTCCATAACCGTTGTCCCAAGAGGCATCCCTCTCGACAGATCGCTCGTGTGTTGCGCTGTCTCGTACCAATAAAACCAAACCGAATTTAATCCTAACAAGAGTTGGCGAAGGAGTTATTACTAAAGAATTAACTTTTTGCGTTAGGAACTGAATATTGAAAACATATGTCAGAATCAACATATCCGTTTACAATCTTTATTAATAACATAATATTATGTTTAATTCTTCGTTGCTAAGAATGAGCGTATTAAAGCGGTAGCGTATGGCTCCGAGGAACATCGGTTAGAATCCGGACGGATTGAGAAACCTCGGGAATTTTCCAGGTGGTCCGTCACGCTACGTTGGACTCCGTCTCTCACCACCCTGCCACTCCAATGCGGGCCCGTCGACTCTTTAATGTTCTGGCTAAAAGGCATTCTTAGTGTCCTGGCGGTGGAGAATTCAAAGAAAAACAAAGCGCTGCCGCAGCCAAACACGATGCGACAAAAGGGAGGCGCAGCTGTGTTTGATAAACAACAATCGTACCACAGATAGAGTTTTTAACCGGTTTCTGGCCTGGCATTAACCGACAAAATGGTTTTTTGACGTTTTTGTGGTTTACGACGATAGACACGCGCGTCCTTCCTTAACCAGAGGGTTTTAAATTGCTTTAGAATGTTAGAAGCGTGTCATCACATTTGTTGCGTTTACGCGTCAAGCTTTACGGGAAAACTTACGCCGCGGAGCTCAGTTTCGTTTTCATAGAAAATACCTATTAGTTAACGTTAAAAGAAATTAATTTCTCACCCGTAACTCGCTAGATTCGGTGTGGCCATCGTCCATTATTAAGAGTTATTCGACAATTTTACTCGGAAAATATATTCCACCAGAGGTTTTCGTAATATACGGCCCGCGATGTGTTTTGAAATAAAGTAGCCGTATATTATTAACTATACATCTACTTTAAGTTTCGCAATTAAGTATTTTATAGAACATCATCGTGGCGTCAATTTTTAGTTTCAGCCGATGACTTTGAAAATAATTGTTTTGAAAGGAAAACGAAAGGGTTGCATCCTCCATTGCATTTTAAATTAAATATTTGCCGATCGGAATATTTAATTTTATGGCGTTCAATTTAAATTCCGAATAGAATTTCTCAATATTAATGCAGAATCCGATGCGTGTACAAAGGCTTTCTTACATAACTTGTGAAGTTTACCAGAAAGTAAAAAATTTGTCCATTTTGAAAAGGCGCCAACTCCATTTGGTCGTAGGCTCGCGCGAAGCCAACGCGGAGTTTTTCGGGTTTTTAACGCCTAAATAGAGACCAATTTCCTACAGGACGTCCTGTGGGAGGGATACCGTTCTCGGCACATGGCCCACGCGTCGAAGTCGCGGTATACAAACAATTGTCCGGATACTCTTTCTTTTCAAACTCTTCGTTCTTTATAAAATTAATAATTGTAGAAAACTAAACAGAGATGATGGGTAGGACATTTTCTAAACGCGTAGAAAATTTCACCATCTTATATCAATTGCTTCCGAGGTTCGTAAATGAGAGTTTTAGGTTACAAATGTCAATGACAAATTACGGTAGTCTTACGTCAATTAATTAGAATTTAACGGCCGCTAGGTACAGACGAAACAATTTCTCATGGAATATCGTACTTAGTTGGCGCCGGTTTTAGCCAGAGCTGGCTGGCGCGCGACGGCTGCAAAGTTTCGTGCCAAACTCGTTGTAGCAGCGTGCCCCAACGGCTTTAACATTTACATTTGCATGGACCATGTTCTGGAATTTTAGTCAAACGCAATTTACTCCGAGAGAGAGACAACGCGATATTAATTGGTAAAAGTAAAAAAAATAAAAGTTTTAAACGTATATTTAGAAATTTATAATTCAGAAATACCGTATGTATTAAGATACGATGATAGAAAAAACTTGACTCGCGTATGGATTAACGTCCAGTCCCGAGTTAACTCGGGCATGCTACATAGCGTTACAAAAAATGCGGTCCTTAAGGGGAAAATTTTGAATTTTTGGAATGTTTTTTAAGTCCCTAAATTTTTTCAGAATTTTTTGCCCGCGCGAAAAAATTTTATCGCGATTTTAATGAGCCTTTGATAAGGCTCGATTAAGGCTTAATTGTTTTTTAATGGGAGTTTTTTATCAAATTTATTTCATGGTTCCTAAGTTTGAGACAAAGGAAAATAAAATTTGAAACTTTTTCTTCAAAATTAACGCATTTCTTTCGTTTTTTTCAGTTTTAAGTATTTTTTATGCTTAATTACATTATAATTAAAAACAGGTGGGCGTTAAAGAGGTTAAATGCCATTTTTTGAATTTTCAATATTTAAAATGTTGGAAGCCGTCGTTATTCGCATTTAATGCATACGCAAATGACGATGACTTTCAATATTTTAAACGTTGCGGCAATTATTTTAAATGATAAAATTCACCAATGTTACGACAGACACATTCGTACGTCGGTAGGTTTGCGCGTACAGTATTAAGATACTCCATATTTAATTATATATATACTAAAATCATAAACCATACAGAAAATTGAAATTTCTGTATGGTTTATGATTTTAGTGCCGTACAGATGATCATTTTTCGTGCCACAAATGCTTTCAAGTATTTAATTGTAGATGGAAACAGATATTTTGTACTGACGATAATAGAACGACTAGTATCTTATCCAATTTCTTCTGATCTGAAGGCAAATTGTATCTTTGGAATCGTACACCAATTTAATTTATTCAATTTTAAGTAATTTCTTTCTCCGCTGTTATATACAACAGAATGTATGGCGATCGGCCGAAGATTTTTGTATTTTTGGACTCTAAAATTGATACATACAGGTGAGCGTCGGAATTTTTTGGGGGTGGTCCGCTCGGATATGTCGGCCCCGTCCCTCACCACCCGGCAACCCCATTGTGGGCCTGGCCGAACCCATAATGGATTTGCAAAAAGAGGCCCTCTTAGTGCCCACAGGCCGAAAGAGCTTAAAAAAACCCTGTATATACCAATTTAGTTTAGTGCCACCCACATTTGAAGCTTAATAACTTCTGTGCATTTTGTTGAGAACTTTTGAAATTTTGCAGGAAGATTTGTATATTAGGGGAATTGATGCTATTAAGTTTTGCTGGTTAATGGTCGAACGGGTGGTGAGAAATAGGGAGGTCGTGTGTCATATCTCGAGTAAAAACAGACTTAATGAAGATTTTATTCGCTATTAACATTTAGAAAATTTTGTATGAAACTCATCTCTATCCTGAAATTAAATTTTTAGCTATTTTACAGGGTGACAATAATTAACCCGTACAAGTTTCTTGCATGGTAAATTTAGAAATGAAAATTAGTAAAACAACAACAGATAGCAGTGACAATACTTTATGTATTAATCAGATATTCAGTCGGTTTCAAAGTGGCCTCCTTTTGCCTCGATGCAGAGCCCCAAACGCGTTTCTAAATTCTCGGCGATGGGTCGCAGCTCTTCTGGAGACAGTTTGTCCCACTCCCGGCACAAGGATTGCTTCAGCGACTCCAAACTTTTGTGGTTCTTAGCGCAGGCTCTAGCCTCCAAAATGGACCACACACTGTAGTCCATCGGGTTCAGATCCGGTGAATACGGTGGCCATTCCGCAGACGAGGTGAAATCAAGAGAATGAGCCTTGCACGACTCCCGAGTCTTCTTCGCCCTGTGTGCCGGCGCTGAGTCATGCCGAAACGTCGAAAATGCTGCTGAGCCCACGGAAGTACCACGGCTTCGAGAATGTCACGGCGGTACACGTTTCGATTGATTTTGGCCCCTCGATCGACCGAATTCCTTTTTCGCCATTAACCGCTTCGATTTGCGCTTGATTCCGATCTCACGGAGATCTTCGCGTGTCAGTCAACTCGCTTTTTGGTGATCTTGCGCTTCCTAGACGTGTTGATGATGAGCTTTCTTCGACGTCCGGGATGGTCACCATCATGGCCAAGCTCCTTGAATCGCTGAACTGCATCCGAGATTGTCATTTTGGGAACACCGAGCAAACGAACAATTTCGCATTGACGCTTTCCTTGCCGGAATAGCTGCAAACGTTTCTTCGACGTCCTTAAAAAAAAATAAAGAATTAACCCTTATTACACCGAAATCACATCTACATTGGCAGGAAATCATAAAGACGTTCGGGTGCAGCATTGCTGCAAACTTTGTACGGGATAATTATTGTCACCCTGTATAATAATTAATAACATATAATAAAATAAATAAAATCTCATATCAGATAACGCCGCACACAATTTTTAATTCTTGACCAGTAAATTACGTAAGTCCTTGCTTGATTTTTTAAAAATCTCGAATTTGTTCGGTTCGAATTTATATTAAAATAGAATAGTTATGGACGTATCACTTGTAGAAAATGAACAACATCCGCCCAAAATGTCTGGAATATTGCTAAACTTGGAAAATTCTTGCGACGACAATCTCGACGACATATCAGAAGGAAGTACATCAATCTTCAACCCATTAAATATAAATAAAATGAAGCGTAAAAAGAGAGGTGGAAAGAAGAGGAATAAAAGAAAATCGAGGAAGCGAAGGCAGAAAGGCCAGCCACTAGGAAATAAACGAAGGAAGAGAAGTTGCGGTAGGATGGAGTGTTTTATCTTGATTCTGATGATAATCTTCGTTACGAATCAGATATTATTACTCGGCTATATCTCCCATACAATTAATTTATTTGTTTCAATCCATTTTCTACGTTAGCTTCACACGTTCAAATTTAAAAATCGATATAAAAATACGGCAGTAAAGTCGAGATGACACCAAAGGCTCTTTTCAGAGCCATTTATTTTTGTTAAGAGTTAGCCAAAAAGTACATAAATATATTTATCAGGTGACGGGACAAATTGCATTAGCTATAATATCAAACAGTATGACGATTGAAATACTCTCATTTCATTCTTTAAAGACCTTTTAGACTGCGAAATTCGAATATACGTAACTACAAAATTTGAATTGCAACGGAATTTTAACAAAATCCCAAAAATAGAGTATAATTTTGAAGTAGATGTTTATAATGCACACGATTCTTCCAATCAGTTCGTTAACATTCGTGTTTTCAGTAGAATATTTGTGCTTATTAATCAGGCTATTTTCAACTTATAAGTGCCTATTTTGCTCGTCTGTTTCTATGGTTGTGTCTACACACTCTACTTCAGTTATCACCCTAACTTCAATATCAACAAAAGATTGTTTCAGCGATCAACTGCCTGTAATAAAGCCAATACAACTCAGAAACAACTGATTTACATGGACACGCAATTGAGATGCGGGTGTAGCGAGCCATTGTAGTGAATTTGGTGGAACCCACGGCAAAATTTGAACATACGGCGACTGGGTCATATTGAGGAACTGAACCATAATCGGGCTCTCGTCTTCCTTATACACGCTTATACATGCATTTCATAATGAATTAATTAAATGCTTAATAGCAAAAGTATGAATGTCGTATGATAAAATTATCATCGTAATACAGTAATTTGTTTTTACAATAAGCAGTTTGATAAAATATCATTATTTGGTCATTGGTTATTTAACGGTGTGGATAATTTGAAGTTTTAACTTTAATTTTCCTCGTCAATTCGAGATGACGATAAACGTATGTGTCGCCCTTCAGCTACGTTCAACCTCAACGGATAGTGTTTCTCGATTGATACAGATTTAAATGCACAGAGAAAGTTTGGAAAAGAGAGTTTACTTCTGAAAATTCATTACATCAAAATTAAAAAGTTCTTTTCAAATAGTATTTATACCGCGTTTATTAATCATATCAGTGTATTTTTGTTACAGTCGTGTGTTTACGTGCAACATCTAAAACACAATCAACGACACTTGCCTCGTCTTTCGTGTTCCTCGGCTCTACCAAGCGAAAG